AACAAATAGACATCAGTTTTTTATGTGTCTGTCCTCTTATTGACGATAAATTGCGTCATCACATTGTCAAAGTAGTGTTGATTCACGAGGCGTAGCCGATTACAACACAGGTAGCCCAARCTTGGTTTCTGTWGTRTCCTGTTATAAGGAAATGTATGGGGATTCATCAAAGATTTCAATAAAATCATCTAAATGTGAAATAAAGCCTCGAAATTTTACTCGATCATTGAAAAATAGCACTTCTTTCGCTCTGCGTGGTTATTTTTTGAATTTAGCCCGTTTTAAGATTTYCCCCCCCACCATTTCCTTATAACAGGACACCACAGAAACCAAGCTTGGGCTACCTGTGATTACAGTAACAAAAACGATAAAAACTTCTCATTTTTACTGATCAACACAACCAATGGAAAGAGCGCACGCTCGTTGACGTCAACTTTATCTGTCTGTCCTCTTATTGATGATAAAAAATAACCAATTAGCGCGCGAGAAATTTGTAAGTTATTGTAAAAAATCTGTTTTYGATGTTGCTTGTTGTTGTTGTTAATAGGATGAGCAAGACAATGGACGAGTACATCAATGAAGTCAACTCCCAACAGCTCCAGGCTCGTAAAGAAATTGCAAAATACATCGGTAACTTAGAAAAGGAACTAGCCCAGGTCAAGGCTCGACAACAACCCCTTGAAGGAGGAGGAGAAAGTGATAACCAGTTATTTCAACGATATGCGCCTTCTCGATCACCTAGGAAACGAAGCTCAGGRAAAAAGCTTCCTGCCCTTCAGTCGTCACTGCAAGAAACTTTACCACCTAGTGGTAGAAAAATGAGCGATTCTTCTTTATCCGGGGCACTCGATAGCGAGGGCTCTACGGATGACATAGAATATTACCCCTCGGATGTCAGCGAATCTGATATCTCTCGACCTTCAAGCTCACACAAGGGACCTAGAAGAACGCTACCTATGACACCCAGTGATATTGAGGTACTCTGCGGTGACAGTCCTGAGGAGTATTTTACGAAGCAAAGTAGGAAGAATAAGCAGCCTGATAAATCTGATCATAACAAAGTTCGTGTCTTTCCACGCATGCGTAACAACCAGGATTCAGGGTTGGGAGAAAGCCTTCGGTGTCGAGAGGATGGTAGAGGTATAAGGCCGCAGAATAACTACCCGTGGAGGAAGAAATCTCAAGGTACTATAGTTAATAAAAATGGTTTTTGACTCGTTCAAACTTGATTTAATGCAGAGTTCTGTCTGCGTATTTACTGTGGTTTTCGATATTCTGCGAACTCCGACATTTCAAAGACTTGTTGTGAAATTGGTTTTTCACTACCGCCGGTAAAGGATATTTAGGGTGCCGACTGATTTTTTTGTTTGACTGCGGCGAAAAATCAAATTTCAGGAATTCTACTTTYCGCAACGATTGCTGCGACTGGTCTCGCAACATTTTTCAAATTTCGTTGTAGGTTACACGGTGCAATGAAAGGTGCAATGCTAAATGCGACGCCGTGGCGACACAAGTTGCAGAGAAAATTGCTCCGTGTAATCGCGCCTTTAGGGTCAACCAGTTTATATTGGGCTTTTGTGTGTTTCACGGGTTTATGAAAAACACTCTATGTTACCATATTTTTTAATCAAAACCAAAACAAAATAAACACTGAAATTACAAAACTTATTTTTATCAGAAAATAAGATAAGACCTAGCAGTGCTTACAGTCGTGGTGGAGAGGCCAATGATGATGAATCAGAAAGCTTCCCAACTATTACCTCAATATCGCTTGACAAAAAAGGTCAACATTCTGCTGCTGCTGGATTTGAATCAGCCCGCAAACCTATGAAGACTGAAATTACGACATCTAGCCCAAATAAAAGAAAAAGTCAAAGTATGTGGTATATATAATATCATTTACTAATTTGCACGAGACTTTTCAGGTTATAATGGATAGTGAGCGCGAAAGAAAATTTACAAAGTGAAAAGCGCGCCTAAAATTTGTATTGATGTTTAAAGTGCGYGCTAGGTAATCTTCAAGCGCGGATCGTGTGATTTGGTAGATGCGCGCAAGAGATGCACTACGTTCATTAATTTGTCAAAATATTGCGCCCTAGAGAATATTTGTCGAAGGAAGTGCGTGATAGACTTGAGGTGAAGGGCGCGCTAAGTATTAGTTGTGTATAGAAAGTGCTAGAGATTATTTTATAAAATAACTGCTCTAAATCTCGCGTTCTGATTGGTTGGGAGCGCGTGCTTTATGAGAGCACACAGCGTGCGCGCGCAATTTCAATTTCGTCATTGACGTAATTTGTATTTTATAAAAGAAATAAAAAAACTTGCTTGCTGTGCTGTGTGCAGTTATAAAGCACGCTACGCGTCGTGCTTCTCCTAACACTTCTCTCTGTTCTGCCAACCCCGCGTGCTTTATAACTGCACACAGCACGCGCGCGCGTTTCCTATTTCTTCAATATTACTCGCATTTGATTGCGCGCGCAAGTATCATTGTTCATAGAATGTGCTCGTCAAATACGCGACTCAGAGAGGATACCGCGCGTAAAGGATTTGGCTCACAGCTACGGCGCCCGTCGCTTATGTTGCAGTTGCACTTGATATTCACCTGCAGGTAAGTAACGCGTAGCGAATTTTCCTTACACCTTACGCGAGCGTCACAGTTCCCTTGACCCAGCATTTTCAAGCCTAAGTCGTTTGTGACTGTTTTGTCTTTCAGTTCCTCTTCGCCGGTTCCTATCACATGACAGAGTTCGAGCACACAGGCGTCATGCCGCGTTATTGCTAGTGTTTCGTTATCTAACTCCCCTTGAACTGTGTGGCTTGGCTCAAGTATGTAGAGAATGGAGAAGCCTGAGCGAACATCCGTCGCTATGGAAACATGTATCGTTGGTGGATACCGCTGTAAATAACATGGTATGTATTGCTGGCTCACGAGAATGATGTTTATTAGCTTCTTCCTTGATCGAAAAACACYGCCACAATAAAAGGATTGTGTGCTTATTCATTCTATTCTTATTTAATAGACATTGCTGTCAATATCAAGACGATGCAAACCCCTGCAACATCTCGTTCTTAAAGGTAATGTATATATCATGGTTACTGTGCGTATACTCCATCCGGGACCACTATGATAAATTAGTATAATTAACCAATCATATTGCGACATTTAGTTCAATGTTTTGAACCAGCCAATCAGATAGCACATCGCTATAATGAGAGCGCGAGAACGTGATAATCTGATTGGCTATCGCTGTCATCAATTCAATCTCTGTCTAGTTTGCTGCTATCTGATTGGTCTGTTTTATTCAAGAGGTCCCAGTTAGTGTGTCCGCACAGATCAAACCAAAATAAAGGGRAAGTTTGTGAATCAARGGTGGTGTAGTGGTAGTACACTCGCCTCTCGGGTTGAATTCCTGGACTCAGTATCACATGTGAGTAAAGTTTGTCGCGTCTCTCTGCTTTGATAGCAGCTCGTGCTGCTTGGGCGAAAAGGCAATTCGAACAACGTTTAAAAAAATTTTGTCTTTTAGGATTGAAGAAAATCACTCCTCGAAAACGTGTCCAAAGTAAAAATGTCGAAAAGTAAGTCCAAACTAAACTTTTAGTTTGGTCCCTAGCAAATCCCCATAACACATTTCCCCTTAAAAGTTTTTATATTACCCTGTCCGTATCCCGTTCATTTCTTTTTTCCGTTGTGTTCCAATCCTTCATTCTACTYCTTCCATCTTGTTGCAGTAATATCTCCTACTCTACTCTATTCATTACAGTACAACTTTTCATGCGATCCCAGCATCTTCTTTTAGAATCTTATTCCAGATTGCAATCGGGATCTCCAACTAAAAATCCAATTCATATAGAAAAACTGTGCATTACTGACCGAAGTGGCTTAAAATTTTTTAGTGTGCTAATTAGTATTTTTAATAACAGATTACACTCTATTGCCTTCAAACAATTGTTTCAAGTCGAGGCATTTGGGTCAATACAATGAAATGTAAAGAAACTAACCCAAATGTAGCAGTTGCTTGAAGGCATCACAGTCTAACCAATATCTGCTATAGAGCGTTTTCACGTGACGTCACAGCGGCCACATTGGTGTACCAAAACAATACATTTTCTATCTTCAAGGAATTTAACTATATTCTTATTCAAAAACTGTCTTAGCAGTTGCTACCTAGAGAAAGGCCTGGAGTACATTCTAAAAGTATCTGCAGAGAATATGTCGTCAATCCACATTGAGGACTGTGGCAATCTATTGACTGACAGGTCAGTATATTAGCCAAATAAAAATAATCAAATATGCAACCCACTAACTTTAGATTCACAGAATTCCAAAAACCTGAGAATTTTAGAACCTGCTTTTGCCGTGTCCTAGCATTTTGATTGGTAGAGCTATAATATCGCGCGCTGCGATTGGTTTAAATTTCGTAGTCGATTCCGTACTGTGACCGTGCCGTGTCGGTTCCCAAGCAATACGAAATCTATTCTAGTTAATGTTCATGGAATAGAACTTTTTTTTAGCTTCGTTGTTTGTTGTTCACATTGCAGACCATGTGATGCCACTTTTGGGAGTTGATTCTTTCATGTGTCTATTTTGACATGTTCGTCATAAAAGAACAATTCTCAAGGGAATGTCATGTGATCTGAAATGGGCAATTTACATACGACGTTAAAAAGATCTATAGAGGTTTTGCGCATCACGTGATGGCAGCCATTGCAGGAGGGAGGAACAATTGAATCTGGTCTAATCTTATTTACATGAAAAAGAATTCAGTTTCCCAGGGGAAAAATACGTGTTGTGCCTGTCATGGCTGCCATCACGTGATGGTGCAAAGCATCTCATTCTGTGACCTCAAACTTCCAGAAATCTATATACTTCCTGATTTTACAAATCCTTGGTTTTCCTCGATAGGTGCTTACTGCTGACTGGTAGTCATTGCCGCAACCTTCAATCATTCACATACATCAGTGATAAGTATCCAGCATGCCCCGAGGCCTTGTGGGCACTGTKGAATTGTAGGAACCTTACTACTTTACGAGTACCGCCAATGATTCCCAAGTAAGTCGTCATYATATACCGTTGCTATACAAACTCATTTCCTTAGCAGTCAGGTTGCATTTTCTTCTTCTACCCATGCGCATGGTCTATAGCGATATTCACTGTGTACRAACATTGACGTTAGGAATCTTTTCTCATTCAATTGTGCCAACCATTAAAACAAAATATCTTTGTTTCAGTAGCCAATAGATCTCTGGTTGGCACATTAATATCAATAGGTAACGTCAGTGCCAACTTCGCTATGRTACATTTGCCTTTCGCGAAGTTTTGTCTCGATCAGCGCGCAGGCATTAAAATAATTGCCGGTCATTTGTCATTCACGATGACTAGTTTTAGCTCGGTCATACCTCGCTTGTAGCTCAATGATACTGGTCACAATGGTTGGCAAAGATTTGACCGCACAACAAATTCCAATGGACTACTTCGATGATGCGGCGGCCATCTTGAATCGTAATGCATTGTGGGTCGTCCAGGGGGCAAATAAAGCTTTCTTACAGTAATGACGTAGATTGATACTAACGGCTCGTCGCAAAGAGAATATAATAAAAGATGAATTAAGGCAGCACATCGATCAACTTTACCCGGTCATTAAAAAAGACAAACACACGAAACTCTATATATTTTCTGTCATCTTTGTTTTGTTTTGCCCCCTGGCAAGATGGCCGTCGTATCGTCGAAGTAGTCGATGTCCAGCCGTTATTGTAATCCCTGGCGCGTAGCAATGAAAACAGTAGCGGTAACGTTGCTCTTCCAAGTCCCTYGATTTGACCAGTCTTTCTTTTTGTCTAGTGAACWMCCTAATCGATTCAACGACAAGAGTTGCGAGACCATCGCTAACTGCTGGCCATCCTTAACGAAGCTCTCGATAGGAGGACCCGGCCTAACCACCACAGGACTCCTTCACATCGCTAAAGGTTGCATGCGGCTACAGGAACTAGAACTGGACCGCATTCATCACGTGACTGAGGAGACTGCTTATGCTCTGTGTCTTACTGGGTTAAGAGGGCTGCAGATTTTGTTGTTCACCTTCACAACTACAAGTCCTGGCGCTATAAAACAGTTCTATGGTAAATATCAATAAGTCGTACAAAGGTTGAGGGAAAAACTAGGTCGATTTGGCATTACAGTGCATTGTGGGAATGTTTTCTGAAATGGACATATTTCAAAGATGGTTTCTATTTAGCAGTCCCCTAAAATAGTCCCACAATGCATTGTAATGCCAACTCGACCCAGTTTTTACTCAAACACGGTACGGCTACGCTCGGCTACGCGCGAGCCCTTTCCGTTTATTGTTTTGATCACTAAAAACCAGACTAAAAACAAAACGGAAAGAGCGCACGCGCGCGCAAGTTGATGACCCACGGGAGTAGGGTAAGAAGAAATTTAAACTGCATCCTGTTACTAAAGATAGACAACCGGGAATTTACATGCGTGCGCGTTATTAAGAAGTTTCCCTCTCTTATTTATGYTCTCTTGCTAATACTGATACCGGCGCTTTAAATAATAAATAGTGTTTTATTTTCTACTTTTTTCTATATGAAATATAGCATATACTCGGCAGACTTTCAGACTTTCGCGTTTTGGAGGAAGAGGGCTGTRTTAGCTCCGGAATGAGGTTCCTCTTCATATATTTAGATATGATTCATCATTTTATCATATATAGACTTTGTACCATCACGTGAAGGCAGCCATGACAAGAGGCACAACATTAGARTATTTTCTCCCTGGGAAACTGAAGTCTCTCTCGTGTAAATCAGGTTGGACCAGATTCAATTGTTTTTGCTTCCTTTCATGGCCTGCCATCACGTGTTGGTGCAAAGCCTCTATCGTACTAAAGAAGGTAGCCGGATATGCTCTTTCAAGGGCCCGGACCTTTAGACCTCCGCTGTTACGCGCTGTGGACCTTTTCTCATGTGGCAGCCATAATATATATTTTCACCCCTTGTAGCCTCGCGTTCGTACCCTTCAGAATGAGTTTAGCGGGTTAAAATCTAGACTGCGAGCTAAGTCCCTCTATTTCCCTTGGTCACTGTCCGTCTGTCTGTCCGTGTCGATTGGTCGAGGAAAATTGCCCTCCCTCCCCAGTCCCCACCCCCAGGGACTTTTGACTCGTAACCAATCTTATTCGACCAATCGACACGGACAGACAGACGGACAGTGACCAAGGGAAATAGAGGGACTTAGGTCTAGTTAAAATCATTCGAAAGGTCCATGAGGTGTAAGCAAGGAACGGTTCACCAWGATAATCCCATTGTTGTCTTCTGCTTTTAACTTCATAATAAATAATGGAACTTTCTCTCCTCCACCCAGCTGCCTGCCCTCGGTTAGAAATTATCGCAGTGCATGTTGGGATATCRGATTATTTTTCTGACGTCACTAACCAAGAGAACATACGTAAATACAAGCGAATCATCAGTAAGCTAGAGGTAAGCACACAAGATTAGGGTTATTATCCTTTCCGGAGTTGCAGAACTCTGGGGCTGTTTTTCGAGACGCTCATAGACGCTTAATTCATGGTTTCGCCCCTCTTAGTYACCGTTGCTAAGTCCCACAAGCTCAACAAATGTCTCTTGAATATTCCAGAATTCAAAACTCTGATCTCGGAAAATTGATTATAAGTTGTTTATATTGTTAACTGTCCTTTGAAAATAAAAGACAAATACTCTTTGAAGCAGACACTGTGTAGTTGTTTGTGGGACTAATGGTAATTCCACTGGGAAAACATCTGCAACGGTGATTGGTTCGCTGTTGGGTTCGTGCAACTCCTTATAAACTCCTTGAAAACTCCTTGAATTTAATTCTCGTTTTCAAGGGCACTTTAAAAGCTCTTGAATTTTACGATTTTAGCGAAACTCCGATTTGATTGGTCGCGATGGGGGATAGAGGGACTATCTGATAGAGACCATGTAATCTTCGTGATAAGATTTTCCGCCACCTGAGTGTGGAGGAGAGGTGAACTGTCTAACTTCTTCTGTCAGTTGCCAAGGAGAACAGCATTTTCGACTTGTACGGGACCCCTACACTTAAGTATATGTAGAAGAGACTGATAACATGTTTTTTCCTCAGGCTTTGCGAGAGGAAAACTCTGACTTGGCACGTGTTCTTCGCATTAAGGCAGATTATGGGTGAGGAAAACCAACTGAATAAAATAACTTTTAAAAAAACGTATAACGATAAAAATAAACTGCTGTAAATTATAYTTTAGTCTATAACACTGATTTTGTAATGGATTTATCAAATATGGTACAAGGACACTAGTATTTTATGAACTATATTCGGGTTCCAAATTACTGCTGTGTTTCTTGCAGCCTCGTTTACCCACCTTAGCCTCGTGTCAATGTCTAAATATTCCAAAAATATCAATGGCAAAGTAAAGAATGCACAACTTCAACAATACAAACACTTTGAAATTCTACGGACCTTCACTGGAACACGTGAATATTTTACCCAAAATTGGGGCTGATCCTGAGAATGATGATACTTGTTGCCATGGTGAACGGTCCGCAATTTCTCTTTTCTTCCAATTAAGCTTTTTTTCTTTTTCTTTTCTTTTTTCTTTTCCTTTTTTCTTTCTTCGTTTCCTGCTTACCATTTTTCCCTAACTGCAAACACATCATTATATTTCAAAATGCATTCCTCTTTTTTYCCCATCTCCCATCCATGCTTTTTTCCCCTTCCTATCTACGCCTGCCTTCCAAGTTCATCTCAGGACCCAACGATGCATGTCATTAATTCAACTGTTATCAATTTTTACAGTCTGCTAATTCCAACAAATGAATTCAAAATGTACTGTTAATAAGATTGTCATTTATTTGGACGTTTCAGGCTTGCATAGAAATATCTTTTGCATCGTCTTTCTAATTTTAAATCCAAGGAAAGAGATTAATGACTCACTTTCCGTGGTTTCCCTTTCAATACGGGTCAGCAGGGAAATCAATTCATATATTACACTGGGCGCATTTTCAAGTCTGACCACAAGAAACGAGATCATTCAAAAGCGTTGGCTTTGGGTAGCATAAGAGGCTGGGTTTTTGGATCGATCTAAAAACTTGTACGATTAAATATAAAGCTGCTCCAATATTCAGTCTTGACCTCATGGTCAAGAGCATTCCTACAGGCGTTCGTTACGCGCGCTTTTTGGTACAAGTTTTGGGCGGGAAAAAATGAAGGTCGGCATAATTAACCTGTCGTGATTACTTTTCAAACGTCAAGCTGATAGATACTTTGATAATGGGACCACATATGATGATGYATAGGATTCCAATTGCTCAAGGCGCACCGCCGCAAATGTAAACATCTAAAATAAATTGTTTTTGTACGCCTTGTTATTTCAAAACGAAAACCTCAGCTTGAGAAGTCTTGTCTGGAACGCCTACTAGTAAAAAAATCTTATCACATATGTCGTTCCAGCCCTGCTGCAAAGAGCGCGTCAAGTGCTTTACTCTACAGTGTAGCTGACGGCGGCGGACAAGTAATTTGTTAACGATACTCGAGGACAGCCAGCTGCATGCATCCACTTGAAGTAGTATAATATATTTTTAATACCTCCAGCTGCTGAGGGGTCATTAAAAACGTATATTTGAGGCCCTTTGACTTTAGCATCTTGCAACAAGCCGGGTGCGCCCTCAAACATTTCAACCCCGAGTTGTTTCCAAATTAAATAACTTTTTCAGTCCCTTGATCCGATAAGATTTTAGGGTTTAAATGGTTTTTTTTCCTGACAAGTTTAGGATACCTTGGGATCCAGAGGTTATTTATTCTCGCTGTGGCGTTTGCAAAGTAGTTTTGTTAAAAGAGTAGTAGTCGACGTAATGTCAGACTCTATTGAGTTTTTCGAAGTTTATCGATGTTTTTATTTCCATTGGAATTCAAAGACTTGTTCGCAGTTCATCATCTTGATCTTCAAGCCTTGCTGATGCTGATTATCACCAGCGATAACTCAAAAGGACGTCTCGAATATGAGCCGTGGGAACTTGAGAAAACTGTTTATTGTAGGTAAATGTGTTGACTTATCAAAGATGTTTTTCCTACARTATTAATTGTCGGCATTTTCAGATCAAACTAGAATAACTATAGTACTTGATAAGATTACTTCATCGAATTGAATGAAAAAGAGCAGGCAACTTCTTGAAAAAATAGACGCGGCCCGACAAAGTTTCTTCGGGATTTAATTATCTTCTCAAAGGTTTCAATCTTTTCCACTGGTTTCAAAGTTATAAAACAATTTTACGAAAAGGAAGAAAGTTAAAAGAGTTTCTGTTTTTTTGCATTTTTTAATTTTCTCCTAACGCAAAACGCATAAGTCTTTTCATAATCAGTAAAAAGTTTTAAAACTAGACTTCAGGTTGTATGAAGACATGAAGAAAGCACWCAAGTTTTTCGGTCCGACAAAGGAAGGTGCCATTTCTCGCAGTTTTCGGCTTTATTATAATTTTAAAAACTTTTCACACTCTTGAAGTGTGAAAGCTACAAAACAAAGGACAGGAAAAYGCGTCAGTCGGCATTTGCTAATTATACCCAAAACAATATATTGTTCTTTCGCTTCGACAACAGAAGCAGATATGAACTCTAGATCGATAGACTTGTTCAATTCTCTCGATTGGATACCATTTTATCAAGAAACACTTATTACTACCGGAGCACTTATGTATAAGAGAATTAATGGACAGACCCCTGAATATATGAATGAAAACCTTCTTACGAACGCTGATATACATAATAGAAATACTCGTTTTAAAGAAATATAATTTTAGGTGCCCCCTCTTTCATCGACAGACCGAGGGTGGTAGAACTTTTACTGTTAGAGCCATTAAATTATGGAACAGTATGAACAATGACATTAAGCAATCACAATCAATTAAGGGCCTCAAAAAGGGTTTGTACGTTAAGTACTTAGGATATCAGAAAGAAAGTTTAACATTTTATTAGATCATTAGATTATTTGTATGAAAGTCATGTTCATTTTAGTAACGATGTAAGGCGTTTGTTCTGAGTCATGGGGGCTCCGTGCCAGCTTCACCCCAAGTCTTCCAGGTTGCGGCCTGAGGACTTGGAGTGGAGCTGTGCTGCGGTGCTCTTGGCTTGGAGGAAACGTCTTACGTTATTATTATT